CCACTCTCGACTTTTTTCACTTTGATGTCCTTCCTCCCCTCTATGAAGCCTGAAGTCAACTAAAGGGCTAATGATAACTATCAAAACACCTGCCATTTGATATAAAAAATATTAATAGTTTAAGGTCAATACGAAAATGGAACAGTGGGTTTTATTTAGAAAAGATACCTTGAATGATGCCCGCAGAACGATTCAAAAAGTGATTGGCGGCTTGAAGACCATCTACGGGTATGGAATAGTTCATCCAGAGCCTATGTGGCCTTTAAGTCTTTTTTCACCATACCAACACTCCATGTTTTTACTTCTTCTAAATGGACTTTTTACCAGTAGAAAGTAGTGCTAAACAAAATCCTTATTGTTATCCTCAAGGATTAATTTAGCGAAGCGAGTAAATCACAATTGATTTTGGTAAAATATGAAACATGTTCCGATCTTGTCAAATGGAGAATAATAAATGACGTCTCTCGTCTAGAAATCAGCTGACCTTTAAATCTGTTTACGTGTCCGTGACATAAACACTATCAGAGTTTTAGTATTGGTTTGAATGAAGTTTTTTATAGCTTTCAAGAATTTTAAGGAAAGTTTCGAATGATAATAACTTAAAATTCCGCGATGAAAACTCCTGTCAGCCCTTTTATTAAAAAGTCCTATCAATTGAGGTTGGTCGCTGCGTCTATCAGGCAGTACCGAGATAGGCGTTGAAATAAAAGCCTTTGACCTGCCAAACTAAGCTATCTGTGCACCAGCTAAAACATAATTCTTTGATCAAAGGTAATTTGCATTTGTGCTATCGTATTTGAGAAGCAAGAAGATACAATAAGTCTAAACGCATTCAACAATTCTTTCGGTTAAAATAAGACTGATAAATAGGAGAATTTTAACAAAACGCATATTAGCATTAACCCATATTGCTATTGAAAAACGAAATGCAGCGAAAACAATCAGAAAGATTAAAGTACCGAGATCTGTTTGTAAGAGTCAAATCGGAAGGAATACATTTACTTAACGCGAGGAAGACCAGCGTTAATATCGGATTCAATTCCACAGTGGTTTTGACCACGGAGTATCTTGAAGTATCCATTGTCTCCCCAATCTGTATTCCAGGAGTTCGCACAAAGCCAATATGGCACACCATTCTCCTCTCCCCAGCCCATCAACTTGATGGCATGACCACCCAACAATGCTCCACTGACATGTTGGTAAACACCAGATTTGTAGGTCGGAAAGTCGGCATAAACTTCAAAATCAGCCTCAACAGGTCCATTGGTATAGAGTTCATGCTTTATTGCGTCTTCGTTCTTATGAATTGAGTAGACCTTCTCAGCTACAAAGTTAGAAAATATAAAAAATGCCGATCATTCGTTTAGCTGCCTGAAGAACAAAACCTTTTCCCCAATTCTACTCTTGTGTTAAAATGCATAATTCCGTCATATTAACCCCTTAACGCCGAAATATCTTTTTGAAAAATGCACTCAATCGTACTCACGTGTGCCCCACAGCAGGCTGACGTCGACGTGATGAAGTTTGGTGGTAACAGGAGAAGGCTATAGATTTATTGAACATGCTTCAAACGGCAATAGTGCATTGTGTTACGAGTCTAGTACCACTGGAGATTATTTAGAAAGTGGACCGTACAGTCCTGCAGGGCATTAAAGTTAGCGAGGTTGACCAATCTCGAACCTATTGAGTGATTAATTAAATCAAACATGTATTTAACTGAACGAAAACTGACGAAGTTCATGAATCCCGTTTTTTGGGAAGTTACACTATTTTGTATATTTAGAAAAATGAAAATTTATGGTAGGCCCACTATCTTTCGCACCTTACAAAAGGGTTTATTGCTCAAAATCGTGATAATTCCCAATGGCCGTTCTGGTCTTTCCATAGGAGTTTGAAATTATGACACTCAAAAAGCCTTCAAAATGAATACAATCCCTTAAGTTACTAGTTATTTTAAAATGTAATTAATCAGCACTAAAATCATAGTTGTGGATATATGATATGCACTAGGGAGGTGGGGAAGGCAGTTTATTTGAATAAGAAATAGAACTAAAATGGCTTCGGCCAATTTGCAGATGGAAAATATACGCAATATTTTTGAAAGAATTATAAAAAATTGCCACTAGAGGGGCTCCATTGTGTTTACTCTCATCTCGAAAGAAATCCATTTAATAGAAATAACATTTAACCAAACAGGGGTGTGCGATAGACTTACCTCCACGTGGTGCACCCTGGGCAACGTATATTCATACGGCAAAAAAGTCTATTGACTGGCAGTTGACTTCTCGCTTCAAACTACCATCACCCCCACTGTATGTCATATTCGACTACTTTTACAGTACTCACCTCACCTTTGTTCTATCTTTGTGTTTGTCTCTTACATCTTTGTAACACTCTTCTGTTCCCACCCCCCCGTCGACTTTTTCAATTTGATGTTTCTTCCCCTCTGTGGAGCCTAAAGTCAACAAAAGAGCTAATGATAACCATCAAGACGCCTGCCATTTGATATAAATTAATAAATAAATCTAAGCAAACACAAATAACTTCTAGTAAGTTAAAAAAATACATTGGAGAGTGTTTGAAGATCATGAAGTGGGTAAAAGGGAAGGAATGCTACAACTGCTCTTGTTCGAAACTCATATTCCACCGTCTCCTTCATGTCTATATTTACCCATATAGATTGGTCAACAGCGGGTTAACTACTGCGCTCTCAGGTTCTAAGCTGATTTATTCACTTCATTGACAGGGGGTAAAATCTAAAGTGCTTGTCCTTTTTATTGCTAGAGAAGTGTGAAATTCCTAATAATAATAGTCTAAAAGGAGGGGAACAAAAAAAGCAATGACGCCTACCATAATATTTGTCCTTCATATAAGGAATCTTGTATTCACTCTGGCAAACTTTCTTGCATTTGGGAGTATGGGCATCAGCGTTACATGGTGGGCGAGTTCCGTTGACGTGGTGTTCACAGGGTGGGATCTCGTAGGATCTGCAAACCATTTTGGTACCATAGAGACCACCACTCACAAGGCCTTTCTTCTTCCAGAACTCCCAAGCTGTAGTGGGGAACCCACCATTGCAGCCCATTCCACATTCAAAGCAGCAGGAGAGCAGGTCATCGGCACTTAAATGAACAACCGGGTTGCGACCATTTCGCATCGCCTCATTGTGAATGCAGATACGATCCGACATGGCTTCAGCTGCACCAAAAGCCTAACAGAATTCAAGGCAATTGAGAGATCGCTGGCCTACTTATATTCATATACAATATATAAATATGACATTCAAGCAATCGGTTATTTTCAGAGGAACTATTATAAATAAAGTCTCTCTCCTCTAGAACTCTGGACCTTTTAAAGTAGAAACAACACCACTTAGCACCTATGAAATGTCAACTATGAAATACGGAAGCCTGCACCACTCGCTATATAGAATTTGATGAGTGCTTACTTGTTAACCTCTCTCCTCAAATCACTCTCCTTAACGTAGGTTATGTAGGAGGGGATATTAGCATTGACAGATGGTTTAGGCCAAACGATCTTGCAAAGCTCTTACCAACACTCAACATTTAGTACACTTTTGGGGATGTGCGTCACTGCATTTTAGGCTATTTCAGGTGTTAGTTTTATCCTTGAATCAGAAACGTAGACCTAATTCGTGAAATTTTTAGAATATTAGGCCCCTGTCCATTTAAAAACTCTAAACCAATTAAAACAAATTTAACAAGATCCCGGGAAATTTTGAGTATGAAGATTCGAAACTTAAAACAGAAGCTAGGGGGATGTTCATGCTCTCAATTGTAGACATATAAGGAAAAAAGAATATCTTTTCTCTATCAGCTCAAATAAGACATTCACAATTCTTTGTCCTATTAGAATGATAGACACTTTTGTTACTACTAGATACATACCCAGCAAGATCCACAGCTACCCTGATCACGAATTTCGAACAAAGTCTTGCAATTTGGCCATTTTTCACGAGGATCAAAGGAAGCTGGGAGATCCTTGTAGTTCTCCTCAGAGAGAGTCGCGAGTTTAGGTAAACGACGGCCCATGGGGTCTGGAACGGTTCCCAGTTGTTGGCGGATCTGCGAGGTAAGCGTGAACCTTTTAGAAGGAGCAGCTTTCCATGTTGTATTGATCTAGATAGGAGGAAGTCAATTAGCCATATATTATTCAAGGTAGCAGCTCAGATAAGTAACTTAAACCTACACTATTCACGTAATCAACGATCTCCTGAGAAAGGGGTTCGTGCATAGCGACAGGATTTAATTGAATCTCCCAGTTTCGCCAATCACATTTTTGAGCCAGAGAAATGCTTATACAAGTGAGAAAAATCAACACACCTTTGAGCGACATGTTAGCTACTGCTCTGTAGCTGAATTAATGGAAGGAGAAGTGTAACTCGGTTCGCATTTATGCGAAGCTCCGGGCCATCAACATTGGTCGCGGGCAGGAAACAGCATTTAAGGCCACGCTGGTAATTTGTAGTAAACATAAACACCATGCACAGTGTAAGTTAAATTTATTGATTAGCCTTAAGGCTGAGTCATGGCCAAGTCGGGCGACCTACTTCAAATTTCAGCTAATATAGCAAGGATGGAGGAGTGATGGAAATCCGCAATTTAACACAATAAACCAAAATTTAATTGTATTTCACTGGTTAGTAATCAGAGAGTAAGTTACTTGTTACCATGACTAAGGTTTCCTAATACCCAGGAATTTTAATGCCGTATTAGTATTAAGTGAATCGAATGTAGTTGTGCTTTTAAAGCCCTAGCTATTTCTGATCTCAGCCCCTATAATTCGCCTCAAATAGCCAATTCAATCCAAATTGCTAGTAGTATCTTGGTCATTTAGTTCAAAATTAAAGCCTTTCTCAAACAGCTTGGCCACCATAATAATTAAAGTTACTAATAATTCTCTGGTGAATTAACTGTTCGCTTTAATTCCTAGAAAGAGTAAAAATATTTCACACATTATTCGATGAGGTGTTGAGAGGCACTTATCTTAAAAGTTCTATTGAGAGTGTGCGATAGACCTACCTCCACGTGGAGCACTCTGGGCAACGTATACTCATACGGCAAAAAGGTCTATTAACTAGTGAGATGGGTGTGCGATAGACTTACCTCCACGTGGTGCACTATGGGCAACGTATACTCATACGGCAAAAAAGTCTATTAACCTGGGGCAACGTATACTCATACGGCAAAAAGGTCTATTAACCGACAGTTGACTTCTCACTTCAAACTACCATCGCCCCACTGCATTTCATATTCGACTACTCCCCTTTTTCTACCTTTGTATCTGTCTCTTTTACATCTTTGAAACACTCTTCTGTCCCCCCCCCCTCCATCTCGACTTTTTGTCACTTTGATGTTCCTCCTTCTCTCTATGAAGCCTGAAGTCAGCTAAAGGGCTAATGATAACTATCAAAACGTCTGCCATTTGAAATAAATAAATAAATAAATATTTCCAAAATTAATTTAATATGATGTAATGTGTGTATAGGGGTATATGAAATGAGGTCTATATTAATGTAAATATGTACTATACCACTGTGGTAACATTTATTCAGATTCAGTCGGAAGTTCTGTAGCATATAGAAATAGGGCGATTAATGATTGTGTTCAAGCACGTAACCAATTAACACACTACGCTATAAGAAACCGGTTGCTGGAGGGTAAATATGTGGGGGCAGGTATAGAAGTACTTCCTACAAAAGCGCAACAACCACCAAGAACTGCCAGATGGAACCTAAGGTCACAGGTTCATTAATAGGGTCATGAACGATTATTACTTATTTCACAATTAATTGTCTACTGAACGCTAGCTACTAATCAGGTAATAGTCAGATTATAACCACCCAGATATGAACGTTTGAAAGTAATAATCCCCAAATCAACTCATCAGAATTAGTTATCCAATTGGCTCCTAAATTTATTTATTTATATCAAATGGCAGGCTTTATGATAGTTATCATTAGCCCTTTAGTTGACTTCAGGCTTCACAGAGGGAGAGGAACATCAAATCGAAAAATAGTCGAGAGGGGGGGGGTGTGAACAGAAGAGGTTTTAAAGATGTAAAAGAGACAGTCACAAAGGTAGATGAAAGGTGAGGTGCGTACTGTGGCAGTGGTCGAATATGACATACAGTGGGGCCATGATAGCTTGAACTCAGAAGTCAACTGCCGGTATATAGACTTTTTTGCCGCATGAGTATACATTGCCCAGGGTGCACCACGTGGAGGTAAGTCTATCGCACAGCCCATTGGCTCCTAAATAAAATAAGTCAAAAGTTGACAAGTCTTTAATGAGCCGATGGAAACGTATGTGCCATGGTAACATGAACGTCTTAGATTTTGTTGTGTAAGTTGATTCTGTGATATTGCGCATTTTGGGTGTCCTGCCGGGCAATTTTGTAGCATTAGTTGCATCAACACCGAGAGTGGGAATAAGGGAAAGTAAATCTATACTGAAACTAGGTCTAATTATGGAATTCAAATCATAATCACTCTGTAATGCCTTAGCGAGG